CGGGTTCGAAATAAAAATCGAATTGTGTTCAAGTCCATTTCATAAAGCACTTGAAGATAACCAAGAATAGACGCCGCCGACGCCTTTCTTGTTTTGTCTTTCTCGCGACTTATGATTATCAGCTGTATTCTCACAGTTTATGATTATCAGCTGTATTTTCACAGTTTATGCCGACGAGCTTGCAAAGTCTTCCAATCGACTTCTTGGGGTCTTACTGTAGAGATATCTCATCAGCTCATGGAGTCTTATAGCTGTACAAATCTGGGACGAGGCAATTGGAGCCATTCCTATTTTTTTTTCTCTTTTTTTCGCAGGGAAAATAACCAGTGTGAAGGGGGGTGAAAGAAGCTTACTGAAGAACCTAGTACAAGGGTTAGAAGGGCTACGACTCTTCGCCTGTACGAGGTGCCCTTTACGAACCTCCAGCTCTCGTTCCTGCGGCGAAACAGAATCTGGAATGCCGAAGTTAAATTAAGATATGGCCGTTCCGAAAGATTTCCTTGTACTAGCGATCCGAACGAGCCTTCTTTTTACTTCGGTTACTACGCCGGCTACGATTTATACTTAGCGGGCATATCGATTGACAATACTGAAAGGATTTGCGATCAAAAGAAAACGGAATGGAAGAAATGAAAAAAGGGTTGGAAACGATTTACGATTTTGCGCTTTCGAAAAGGCTACTTACCTGACTCCGGTTCGGCTTCGGTTTTTTTTTTTTTCGATGATCGATATTAATATACTACTACGGTACGGGCGTAATCGTTACACCCTTCAGAATTTCCACTTTAAGCCCCCTGGTTACCCTACCCTCAAGGGTGTGACAAATAAGCCTGCGACGTAGTACGTTACGTATGTTATAATTTGCTCTTCAAGTTTTTCTTTCGATAAATTTTTGTTCTTTTTCTTTTGCGATTTATTTTTTCCGGAAAAAAAAAAAAAAAAGCGTGATCGATAGCAGCTGCGCTATATGAATTTTGAATTGCTTTCACAAGTTACAAGGGTTTATGCAATATCGCGGAATCAAAGACTCGAGGCTGCTTGAAAAAGAGCTTTTCCTTAAACGTAGTGTTGACTTTCGATTAAATAGTACTTTATATATGATTCCTTTATTTAGCACTTCGCCGTACCTTATGAGAGGTCCGAAGGTCCAAGCATTGCGTCTTGAATACCCGCCCGACGTTAATAAATACAAGAATAACAACTAGAAGAAGGTTTGTAGAAGATTCCCATTATTGATGATACAAGTATTGGTTTGATCAGACTGGTCTCGTATCACAGGGTTTGGGCATTGTAACAGAAATGTTTGGTATTGCTATGGAAGGTTGTAGCGGTCGGTTCCTTATGGGAGCCGCGGGTGCACGTGCCACTGCTAAGCCTAAAGCTACCTTGCACTTCCATCATTGCCACAACAGCCCTTGGTGATCCGACCCCTATCGTAAAAGAGTAAGCTTGATAATTCATCCGTATTACTGTTCTCTTGACCGACGACGGAAATTCCTCTGAAAAGTCGAGAGGGGGGAGTGGGGAATCTGCGAAACTGAGGAAGGACGTGGAACTTACAGAGCCATCTCTCTTAACGCCATTCTGCTTCATCTTATTCTCTCTCTTCTCTCTCTCCTGATCCACCACCTCCTCCCAAGTTTCCTCCTCCCCATCTGTTTCTACCCCATGATCCTCCTCTGCCTCTGGAGCCACCGCCCCGGATGCCGCGCAAGCCACTGAGGCCGGCAACGAATCTGCGGGGTTCGAGTACCTCCGCGGTCCGTGTTGCTAAGGTCTCTGCACGTTCCACAATGGACAGGCTTTCGGCAGGGGAAGGTGAGGCGTTGACGGAGAGGATCGCCGTAGCGAGGATGAGAACGGTTGAGAGGTTGAAGTGCATGATTACGGTCGGATGAATAGTTTTGAGGTAGAGAGGTCTTGAAAACGAGTGTGAATAGGTCTGGCAAATGAATGTGTGAATAGGTTTACTAAACGAGTGTGTGACGAGGTCTTCTAAACGAGTGTGTGACGACGTCTTTTAAACGAGTGTGAAGAGATCTTTTAAACGAGTGTGAGATGATGAGAGAAGGCTGTGAGGAATCGTTAAGAGAGCAGCTGGATATGGATTATATACTTCTTCACAGGCCAAATACTACAAGGTGTAAGCACAACTTTCAAGGACCAGGAATAGAAAGGTCTATACTAGGATAAGATTGTAAGCCCCTTAAGAGTTTATTAAAGAGGCATGCGAGGAAGTACGAATACTCCGTACAGAACGTCGCAAATAACTTGCGATCGCTTTCCCTATATTAAAAAGATCAATAAAGAGTGCACTGCTTCGAGTAGTGGGTCGGGCATAAATTTAAACTCCTTCCGTATACTGGGGAACACGGGGCGTATACTTGGGAACATGGGGCGCAGATATGCTGGCCCGCTGGAATAAGCCACCGGGAAAACCTTCAGAAAAAGAACGGCACATTTTGACACTATATTTGATTCATGGTAAGCTTTTTAAATAGATATACGTTGACCCGGAATACCTACGAAGTACGAATACCGGTATGCTCCGGCTCCGGCTCCCCGAAATCGTCTATTGTTAGAAACCTGGAGACCTTAGGCTCTATCAGCTCTCTCATCTGGTCACGAGAAAGCAGGTATCACACAACATGATATTACGTTGTTTAACGGGCGATTAAAGCCGCATGGAATCGGACCACAAGGTATTTATCCTAATGATAATCTTTGATCCCAAGGCGGACATCTCTGTCGTTCAGCTTTCGGTCTTCATGTCCGCAGATGGGATAAGCGCTTGGCAGACTTCGAGATCGAGATCGAATGTTGCTATTATAGGAAGCGGGATGCCAACGATGCATAATTTGCAAGCTATATTTTCTTATCAGTCCCAAGAAGAAGGGTTTGTGCGGAGAAGACGGCTAAGATTGTAGGTGCGGAGGAGTGGGGAAAGGTGGACAGATTGGGTTGGATCAAAGGAGGCTCATCCGGTAGGAAGGGAAGAACATTTCCTTCCATTGGATTGTATGTGCCGGCGCTGGAGGGGATGGAGAAGGAATAGCAATGCTCTGATGGGTGTGCATCACTTCTCATATTACTTACTGGAACTGAGTCTTGGGGCGGGGGAACTAGGCTGCTCCACGAAAAATAATGCTGTGGGTATGGAGGAAGCCGATCACAAGTAACCCTTTCACAGAGCCCAAGGGAGTGTTACTGGGGCTTATTCGTTTGAAGTAGGTGAGTTACCGGTAGTTAGTACGTAGTAGTTACTACCTCCGCATGAGGCTTAGGAAACCAGGGGGTTTAAAGTGGAGATTTAGACTTTTGAGCCACCCTCAGGATTAGTGCTTAGTAATGGTAGGTAATTAGGGCCAGTTTGATCTAGGCCAGGTATGCCAGGTATTGACGAAACCAAAACAGGTGTCTTAGAAACCAGCTATAACCGCGCTATCAAAAGAGGTATTTTGAAAGCCTTGAAAAATCGAGACTTGTTTCATAGTCAGTGCGCTGGCTTTTACCTGCGGGCTCTCGGTAATAATCAGGATAAGCCAGTGTCCCAGGTCAAGCAAGTGTCCCATTTCACTTATTTCCAATTGAAATAAGCTATATTTTACGATCTTAGGTACATTTAACCGTAGTTATGAATATAAAATTCGATAACTAAATAAAGCTCGATTGCTTTACTTCGTGCATTTATTTTTCAATACTATTATTCGTTGCGTTATTAATTTATTCGAGTTGCAAATCGCATTAATTCTAGCTGATATTTTGATATTCCGAAGCTAATAATTGATAAGTTGCAAGCTTGCTAAGAGTTTTCATTTTCAAAAAACTTATCTTTCACGCAATAGATATCATAATTATTAATTTATATATATATTTAATATATAATAATCTAATAGAAGTTCGTAACGCCGATACGTACATATAACTTTTATTATTACAGTTTATTACGTTATTAGATTATTCACGATACAAATCTTGATTTTGAATGATTTGTAATGATCTTCAATTCGGTTTTATATATTATTTACATGGGACACTCGCTTGTCCTGACTGTTACCGAGAGCCCGCAGGGGGGCTACGATTCTTTACTTGTACGAAGTGCCCTTTACGAACCTTCAGCTTTTTTTCTTTCTTTCTTTTGCGATAGAAAAAGAGATAAAGAGTTTGGAAAGCCGAAATTGAATCATCGATATGCGACGTCTTTTCGAAGAGATTTTCCTTTACTAGCGATTCCGAACCTTTCTTTTTCTTTTTCTCGAATACTACGCCGACTACGATCTATACTTAACAGGCATACCGATTAAAAAACCAAAAGGATTTGCGATAAAAAAAAAACGTATATAAGAGATAAGATAAGAAAGGCTTAGTTCGATTGATCGAAAACATAATACTGCGCTTTCGAAAAAGCGTTTTGCAAACACACCGGCTTTATCTAAAGGCTACGAACGCGAGCCTTTTTAGCTTTACGACGAAAGAGAACGATTTTTGTATTATACGGATCGAGGCCGCTTATAAAGCTATACGTATTCGATAATTGTCGAAAGAAAACTCGACGCACATTACTATGAATTGCTTTTAAAGGGTTTATAAGTGTTCAGCTATTTAACGAGAGGTTTTCCTTAACGTAGTTTTTACTTTCGATTAAATAGTACTTTGTATATAATTCCTCTACTTAGCACGTCGCCGTACTTTATAAGAGGTCCCCAAGGTCTAAGCATTGCGTTTTGGATACCCGCCCGACGTTAATAAATACTAATCGTCGGCTCGCTTAGGTGGGCCTCCTTTCAGCCTTTCAGTCTTAGTCGGTATAAGCGACTGCGGATCGGAAGCGAGTGCGGATTTTTCGAATATGTTAGAAATTTTTATATACTATAACAATTAATTATTATTATAACTTAAAAATATTTATATAAATAATTAATCTGCGATTATATCTTCTTTCGAAACATCCGAAATCGTATTATCTAATAAAACATTTAACTATCGATTGCTATTTTTAAGATCTGATTCGTTTTTTACTTTACGCAACGAATCATTTAAATCTTTATTATTATTAGAATTGAAACTATCTGTTGGATTGCTTCCAAGCGATTGGGAATATATTCGTAAGGTCGTAACGTTCGTCAAAGTACTTGCAATTGCAAAACACTCGGTTGATAAGGTATCTGAATTCTGTCTGCTCCCCAAGACTCAGGGGGGCTGATTCCTTCTATAGGGTTAGAAGGAATCACGTGCACTAGCTAACTAATAGGCCTACTTGTCAAGTTGGGGGTCCCTTGACTGCTGACATGCTAAGCGAGGCATGCCAAGTGGCCCGTGAACCATGGTTCACGGGTGAGCTTCCCCAACTACTACTACTAGCTAGCTACGGTCGATATGAATATACCGACACTATCGCTATCGATATTAATACTAGAAAAAAGAAAAACATCTTGCTTTAAAGAAAGGTCTTTAATAGTATCGATTATAATTATCAGATCATCGTTATCGTAAGAAAGTTCGAGTTGAAAAAGAGTTGGTCGAAGAATACTTTTTTTACGAAGCTGCAAAAGTTGACGTTTAAGAGGTTGTTATATCTATTAAATCTCTTCCGAATCGAGAATTAGAATGAGTATTGTATCGTCGTCTTTAATAATTAGACTTGCAGCAAGGCGTTTTCGTATAGTTCTTTTACGCTCGCGTTTAGCTTTGCGTAAATCGACTCTTTTACGATATTCAGCATCTTTTTCTTCTTTTTAAAGCTTATCGACGATTCGCTATTGTTTTGCAAAAGATCTTCAATTGCATTAAGATTACTTAGTTGAGCGTAGCTTTTATATCGATAAATCTTTAAAAGCTTCTTCGAACGAGTGCGTTTTCGGCTTTTAATTAATTGTAAAATACAATTAAGTTATGCGGTTGTAGATTAAAAAGTGATGTTGTGAATTGTATTTTATATACGAAAACTAATAATAAAATAAAAAATCCGCACTCGCTTCCGATCCGCAGTCGCTTATACCGACTAAGACTGAAAGGCTGAAAGGAGGCCCACCTAAGCGAGCCGACGATTACGTACAACAACAACAACAACAACCGAAAGCCCGCAGGAAAGTCAGCGCGCATTGACTATTAGCCGCAGGTTTTCTAATCAAAACCGATTTTATCTTGAAGTTGATGAAGTGGGGAAAATAAAGATTTTGCCGTGAACCGTACCTTGGCAGATTGCATTTATGCAAAAATCGTGATATGTCAGCTTTTTTGGCAAAAGGCCGAGCTGTTTACACAGCCCCTTGAAAGTAGGCAAAGGTATACGTACCACGGTACAGGCCCAAGTATAATTGGTCTTGATGAAGAGATACGTTTCCGGTAGCTGAAAAGTGGTTAGTTTCATAAATACCTTTCCGAAAGGAAGTTTATTCGAAAGTTTTGCTATACTATTTGTTATCGTAAGCTTCGACCTCTTCGGCAGCAATTACTATTAACAATTGTTCGTATAAAGAGTCTTGATATAACCAAAGTTCAACGTCTTCGTCTTGTTCTTCTACCACGGTACAGGCTTAAGTATTACCCCTCGAGGGTGCTTCAAAAGT